CATGCATCAGAGCTGTTTTGGCAGCAAGAGGGTCTATTAGGCAGGTTGTTTTAATGCTGTGGCTAATCAGTGTATATATCTATATGTATACACACTGATATTTAGTGACTACATATACACAGACACTACACAAACACGCAGGCACACACGCAGGTTTTATTTCCATGTATGTATGCACGGATCAATAGAAACTCTGAAACTTTACAAGAGACTTCAAAATTTGAGGCCAAAATAGCTGAATGTGAAAAAGATTTCAAAATCTGTCCGAAAACTTGAAATACACTTCACAGTTAAGTGAATAATACCTCAACGATCATATTACCCCTTCAAACCCATGTACTAAAACAGTTTGCAGACTTCTTCTTGTCCTGCAAAGACCTTATTCCTGTTTTTTTGTTTACAAGGCAGCCAATAATAGGGCAAGGTTTTTATCTTAGTAGAATCATGGAGTATAAACAGTTTAAAGATTTATCTATATTTCTCCAAAATATATACCTTGCACTGGAGGTCTAGAAATTATTATTATTATTACTGGGTGAAAGTCTAACAGAGAAGGAAAGGGAGTTCCACAGAAAAGGTGCAGCCATGGAGAAGTCTTGAAAATGAGCATCAGATGTGGGAGTACGGAAAGAGGATAGACGTAGGTCTTCGGCAGGGCGCAGAGGCACCAGAATCTTAAATTGAGGGCTATATCAAACTGGAAGCCAATGTAGGGTCTGACAGAGGGGGGAGGCGTGGGAGGTGCGGGAGGACAGGAAAATGAGCCTTGCCACCGCGTTCATAACAGGGGCGAATGCGAGTTATGTTTTTGAGATGGAAGCGACAGGATTTGGCGATCGACTGGACATGAGTGGTGAAGGAGAGGTCAAAGTCAAAGAGAACACCTAGGCAGCGAGCCTGCGAGGTAGAGGTGATGGTGGCGCAGTTGACTTGGAGGGAGACAGACACGGGAGTAGCAACACTTGAGGGAGGAAAGACCAGAAGTTCTGTTTTGGACAGGTTGAGTTTAAGGAAGTGAGCAGCCATCCAATTAGAAATCACAGAGATGCAGTCAGAGACACGAGTCAAGATGGGCAGAGAGGGATCAGGAGAGGACAGGTAGATTTGCGTGTCATCTGCAAATAAATGATAATGGAAGCCACAATAGCTGATGAGTTTACCAAGGGAGGCAGTATAGATGGAGAACAGTAGGGGACTAAGGATTGATCCTTGGGGGAAACCAACAGAGAGGGATTAGGGAGAAGAGGTAGAGCCAGAGAAAGAAACACTGAAAAAGCGCTGGGAGAGGTAGGAGGAGCACCAGCAGAGAGCAGTATCTCTTAGACCAAGATAATGGAGAATGAGAATAAGCTGTTGATGATCAACAGTGTCAAAGGCAGCAGAAAGACCAAGGAGAATTAGAATAGAGTAATGGCCGTGAGATTTAGCAGCAATTAAATTGTTGGATACTTTGGTCACAGCTGTTTCAACAGAGTGACGAGTGCGGAATCCAGACTGAACCGGGTCAAGCAGAGAGTTGGATTCGAAGAAATCTGTCAATCTCGTATAAACAACTCTCTCAAGGATCTTGGAGGCAAACGGCAGTAGCGATATCGGGCGGTAGTTGGATGGGGAGTTGGGCGTTATGGTTGCATGCTTGACGGATGAAGGAAATGAGCTGGAGGAAAGGGAGAGATTGAAAACTTTAGTGAGAGAAGTAGCAAGAGAGGGAGAAAGAGTGCGGATGAGATATGAGGGAATAGGTTTGAGGGAACAGGTGGTGGGGCGGAAGGACTAGAGCTGAAGTGGAAACCTCTTCTGTTGTAGTAGATGCGAATGAGCATAGAACAATGGTGTGAATGAGGTTGGGTGATGTATTGGAAGATGTATTGGAGAAGGAAGATTCTTCCCTGATTGTAAAATCTTCTCAGTGAAGTGGGTTGGAAAGTTTAGAGAGGCAGACAAGAGCAGCAGAGGGAACAACAGAGAAGAACATTAAAAGTGAGAAAGGCATTAACACATGATAACTCCATGGAATCCGAGCATTTAATAAGTCTAATAGCAATCCTCCATAACATCCACGCCAATACCCAGAGCAAACCAAAATCCTTCTTCTTAGCAAAAACGCTTCAAGGCTAAACCAAAGGGTAGATGGCAACCTCCCTAGAATAATTAACCCCTCAGGTAACTTCTGAGCATTATTCACCGGACTCCATTTTGAAACCTCAAACTCAAATACTCCCACTGACAACTGGCTCGAAAAGATCTACAAGACGCAGGGCCATTACACACGTCAAATAGATGACTTCTGGTAACCTGGCAAGCCAGGAAACTGAGACACTATCACAGCCCAAAAACTCAAGCTGGCAGACCTGGAAGACAGGTCCAGGAGGAACAACCTCAGATTTAGGGGAATACCTGAATCGGTAACAAATGCTGACCTAGACAACTATTTACAAGATATGTTCCAGCAGCTAACCCCTGAACTGCACCCAGATCAACTACTACTAGACAGAGCGCACCGTCTTCGGAGACCTAGCCACTTACCTACCACCGCAGCGAGAGACGTCATAGCGAGAGTGCATTTCTTCCACGCCAAGGAACGGATAATCAGAGCAAACAGAAACAAAGGGATGCCTGAGAAGTACCACAACATAAAAATTTTCTCTGACCTGTCAGCAGAAACACTGCAGTTCCGCAAATCTGTGGCGCAAATCACGCTGTCGCTACGCACACAGGGACTGAGCTACAGATGGGGTTACCCTGCCAAGCTGCTAGTGTATCACCAAGATTCCCTCCACTCTATCACGTCGGCACCACAAGGTACACGGCTGTTGGAAGACTGGGGTATCCCGCTGGCAGAGATGGCGAAAACGGGCCCGGCGAAAGTTCCTCGTCTGACTCAAGACTGGGCATCCAGATAAAGAGCCTCCATACCCATGCGGTATACGTAAGACGCTCACCCAAGTTATGAACTATTTTGTTGCACTAGTTATTATGCTGTTTTACATTTTATGTTTTGTTATACTACTGCTACACACCCAAAACTTGCAAAAGGGACTACTGAGGCCCCCTGACTTCCCCACGCACCAACTACTACAGTAGCTAAAGAGACATACTCTCGGCTAGATTTTGACACTGCCCAATTACAATAGGTTAGGGAGTTGGGGCACCGTAACATATACTTAAAAAAAAAAAAAAAAACATGCAACAACGGCTAATGACACCTGCACCCATAGTGCCCCGGTGCGTGCTGGATTGAGTGACTCCCTCCTTACGGGAGAGTCCCAACTTCACAACCCCACTAACGCGCGAGCGACCTTCGGGCGCCGCACTAAGGCTCGACCCAAAGGAGCCTAACAGGGCTATGCCCTCGCCTACCCCCTTTTCTCCACCCTATAAGAAACGGCCCGAAAACAGAGGACACAGGTTGACCTTCCTTCATCCCCCTCTTGCCTCCATACCACTTCCTTTTACAATAACTAATCACACTGAACCACTAGGAAAGTCCATATCCCAATCACCTCACTATAAGAGACAATCCGACAACCTACATACACGGGTACCAACCCCAGCGAATCCTAGGGAAACCACACCAGAATGAGAATAGTATCCTATAATGTACGGGGGCTTAACTCCCCTGAAAAACG